TATCGCCACTAAGTATATTGAATATTTGGCACTTTTAGCTTTCCGTACATGTCACTGCTGCAATTGATCATTGTAAACTTATTACCATTGCAAAACTTTGTTAAAAAAAAAGTTGTTCAAACTGTAGATAAAACAAACTAGAAATGTTCTAAAGCATATTATTTATAAATGAGGGATTTTCAATGTAATTCAGAGGTTCTACAGCCTCATCTCTCCTAAATATTAAACGATTGCTTTAAAAGATTCAATGAAAGTTCTGAAAGTTTTATTACAGCTCTTAGACTTCAACAAAGCTCTGAAAACTATTAATTGGCTTTTAAAGCATAATAAATGTGATAACCTCTATTTATAAAGGTTTCTTACATCTAGTATGGAGGCTCTGAAAGAAAACTTTAAAATGGACTCTGGAATGTCCTGTTAATGTTCTATAACTTGCTATTTTAAAGTTCTAGGTTCTAACACTGACCTCCTAGAATCACAATGAAGACTTTAAAAGCATAATTATCATTATTGCTCCATCAATGATGGGGTTTGTGTGGTAGAACAGAAGACAGCCAAACTAAAGCATGTTCTCCTCTGCTGTTGGTCAGATCTCTGCATGCTGTTCTCTCTTCCATAATAAGCCTCATAATAAAGACTCCTGTGTGCGTCTGCAGGTCATCTCCAGGCCTGCAGAGCTCTGATGATCATGTCCCTGATCATCGGTCTGGCCTCCATCATCATCTCTGTGCTCGGACTCAAGTGCACAAAGATCGGCAGGACGTCAGAGAAGGTCAAGGAGCAGATCGCCCTGAGTGGAGGCATCATGTTCATCCTCTCTGGTACGAGATACCTAGAGACTGAAGGGCTGGAGAGTGTCAGGATGAATGAGAGGAAACATCTAAAGAACAGAAGCCTCAGTTCTGTTTTTTGTCCCTCAGGTGTCTTCACCCTGACTGCGGTCTCCTGGTATGCTGCCAGAGTCATCAACGACTTCCACGACCCGTTCCATGGTGGACTGAAGTCAGTGTCCTGCAGGGCCGTCTGTTCCTGTGTGTGTGTCTGCTGTTTGTAACTGTGTGTGTTTGTGCTGCAGGTTTGAGCTGGGAACTGGTCTATACCTGGGCTGGGCCTCCTCCAGCCTGGCCATACTGGGGGGATCTCTGCTCTGCTGCAGCTGTAAGAGGAGCCCCTCCACCCCCCCTGCAAGGTAAACTCACTGAATGCAATACTTAGCTGTGTCCACATGAGGGCACTGTAACACCCCTGCATGTCTGTGAAAGAAGGCTGGAGGTTTTCCCTTTACCCTGAGATGGTGAACCCAGGGGCTCAAAGGAAAGGAAGCCCCTTTCACCTCCATGCCTCTTCTGTCCTCTGATACCCCATCTGCTCTCCTGCAGGCAGTTTTCCTACTACTCCAACACCGGCGGAGGTCAGAGCATCTACAAAGCAGCTCCAGCCTCTGAAAGCAGCAGCTCCAAAGCTTATGTCTGATCCTGGCTGATCCGACTGCAGCACAGAAAACCATTTCCTTCAAATCCAGATGGAGTCTGAAACCTGCAGGCCTCAGGGCCCTGTAGGCATTAAATGTCCTTTCTTCACGTACACATGCTTTTATTATACCATATATACTCAATACAGGATACATTTCTACAGAAGCCTGTTAATGCCATGAACATTTAAATCAGTAGGCAAAGACTGAGGAACAGCTGTAGGAACAACTGCAGCTCCTTTATTTATTGTGAAAAGTAAATTTAGGAACCGATATCTGTGATTTATTGTTTTTCACTTTGAACTTCTGTTTGTCTTTTTTTAATTCAGATGTTCTGTAGTTTAGCATTCTGGTCACCAGATGGTAGCAGATAATGATCGATGATCCTACTGGAAAATGTATAAACCATGCAGGGTACAAGGGTTTGTATTTAGACTGGTTTATGAATATATATCAGTGTCATTGTTTGCATTGAATTTATTTTTCTTTTATTGTTTTTGTGTGGATGAACAAAAAGTCAAATAAAAAAATACAGTGTTACATGGTTGCTCAATCCAGCGCTCTACAGATCCTACTCCACTGTTTCCATGAAACTTCAATGTAGTTTCTTCTGTTTCTCAGCTCTGTATCCAACATTTGCTTAAAATACACAAGATGTTGTGTATTTTAAGCACAAGATGTGTGTGTCTGTATTTGTCTACTTTTGTCCTTTTCAATCGAAATTTTAACATCTTCAACTTCATCCTTTACAGTCCTTTAGTTCTATCATCTTTAACCATCTTTAACAAGATGTCCTATCTTTGCAACATCCCCTTGATTCCCACAAATTCATTTCTTATCTTTCTAATTTATCAGTGAAGATGGTCAGTCTTCCAGGTCATGGTCAGGCTTGAAAAAGTTCAGACTCTGCAACTGGATATGCAGTTTTCTAGAAGACGTTTCGCCTCTCATTCAAGAGGCTTCTTCAGTTCAATTCAATTCAGTAGATTCAGGAGACAGAAGCAGAGACACAAAAAGCAGCTGTAAAAGGCGGCCCCGTCCA